TGGGGACAGGGTGGCTAACAATCGGAAGGGACCCTCTAGGCCGCTCAGGCGTTGCCGAGGTGCTGTCCCTCGACCGCCAGGACTGCTGCACCCTTCTTGCTGTTCCGCCCGAAAGGACCCCCTCACCCAGTGCACGGCAGCGGGGACGGCAGCCAACGAATCCTGTCGGCCTCCGCGGATCTCCACAGGCAGCGCCGCTCCCCCGCTCGACGTGCGCTTCGCCCGCCACCTCCCTTCTCCAGACCAAACAAACACCCCAGCGCGGAAGTGATCTCACTTCCGCCGCCGCCGGCCCCGCCCTCTCCTGTCAGCGCTGCAGTCCCGGCCCACTAGAGGGCTCACGAGAGAACGCGCGATCACAGATTTCTCGTCCTCCGCGCTGCACACTTGTGCTCGCGGATGTACTGAGACCCTTCTCTCTAGAAGGCGGGAGTGGGACGGGGCTGGTGTCCTTACACACGCTCGGGGATGCAGTAGAAGGGGAATCTGGAGACAGAAAACAGACCTTGATAACAGATCTCTGTCAAACACACCACCACCAAATAGAGGCGTGTAGGTAACGACAGTGCGCGTGCACAACCCCCTCAACCAGACCCATACACCAAACTTCAGTGTCACACCAAGTTAACATGTACCGTGTCACTTCCAGAAACAAGACAAACCCAAAGATAATTCTGATTATCTACACACACCTACCCTCATACATGTATGGACACATAAAGCTGGACCTTTAAACAGATGCAAAATATGAATACGTGATTCCGAAGCAGCCTATGGAACTTTCTTGCGCAGTAAGGGACAAAATATCCTGCGGACAGGATGAGCTCTTAGGGCCCATTAATTATCTTAGCCCGTGATCCCGGGCGCATTACCCTCTGCAAGTTCTTTACTTATGCTTCTTTCCTATCATTGATAAACTCTTACATTTTTAACGTGAAACTAAATGTACAAAACAGTGTGAGAAAATTGAATGTTTGAATACGTATACATTGTATTTGTAAACCACCACAAAAAAACCTGCTCATTTCTTGCCTTTCGGGAAGGAAAATAAGGTCTCAATTCCCAGTTCACACAGAGTTCACCATTGTCATCAAGAGGCTTGATGGGCCAAATTTTCCTTGGCATCCTCTAGACCTAAGGATCCTGGTCCACTTCTGGAGTTCACAATACCCATACTATCCTTGGATGGCAGTGGTCTTCGAATGGAAAATGCTGTCAGGAGTGCAGGCTACGCAACACTTCGCAAATGGTGAAGACTGAGACACTGTAACAGGACTAGCAGAGGCCCATAGTTTAAAAAATACAGCAGGAACTCGACTGTTTGCTCTTTAGTAACAAATTCTATCTCAGGGATTAAAGTAGGAATCAGGAGGATGGTAAAGCCCATGGCGGCTGGGAAAACGCCAGCACTCTAAATCAACTTCCTGGAGTTCTTACAAAAATGTAAACTGTACGTTATTTTTCTGCCCAAGGACCCTACATACAGGAATCCACCCAAAGGAATCAAACCTATGTAAAGATACGTAAAGATACCCGTAGCTGTTTAAAAAAAAAAAAAACACTGAGTCTCATCAATAAAAAACGCTGTATTAGAATGACACCCACAATTCATAAAATAGGCTGCAAAACACATTGATATTCTAAAATTGGCTCTTAAAAAAAAGACACGAATATAGATGCAAGTAAATGAAAGATCACCAAAATGCTAATGCCCTAAGTGGTAAAATCTTGAATTTTATTTTGTACAGTTCTCTGTACTGCTTGAATTCTCTACGAAAGCTCCAATTACACTTCTTTATAAAGGGGGGAAAAAATTCACACCCAAGTAGTTTGGTGATAGCCTTGTCACCATGCTAGGTTCATAGAGAAGCTGGGCAGATATTGCACCTCAGCATTCTGAGTGTTGAAGACCTAGCAGACAGGGGGTGATGGGACAGCCAAAGGCCCCTACTCTGAATGAATCTTAACAGATAAAACTCAATATAACACTGAAAGCCGACTATGTGCCAGCCCTGTTCTATGCACACATATGCAACATGGCAGTAACTAGCATTACCTTTAAAGTAACCTATGAGGCTTTAAAACTGACCTAATACCAAAAGGGGTACAATGTAAACCCAGTTGAGCACGCAAGCTAGTAACTGTATCTAGGAAATACGGAGATGTGGAATTAAAAGCAGATCGCTTATGAGCAGAAGCAACAGAAAAAGGAATTAGGTATATCATTAAAGTCTCACTAACCACTTCAGCAATAATCAACTTAAACAGGAAATCCCTTCCCACAAGCCTTTCAGAAAAACAAGGCAAAAACGTGGGCTTATCGTTATGCAGGAGGCCCTGTGGGTGATGCACCTAACTTGTTTAGCTCTGAAATTAAGTTTTGAGTCCATCAGATGCACCTTTCTTAAAGGGCTCCAAAATATCCTCCTGAGGTGGTAAGACTGACTTTCATTGGCTTGTCTATTATACCCAATAAATCAAACCACCACCAAGTCAATTCTTACAGCAACCCCCCCCCCCACACACACACACAGAATTTCTAAGGCAGTATTTCTTTACAGTAGATTGTCCCATCTTCCTTCCTCAGAGCAGCTGATGGTGGGTTGGACATGCCAACCTCCTGGTTAGTAGTCAAATACCCGAGGCACTGCACCGCCAGAACTCCCTGTTATACCTAATTAACTATTCTGCCTTCAGTTTCTTCACACTGTCATGCTATTTTTGACTTTAGTATTCTTAAAGTTGTATAAAAATCTATTAACTTTCTAAAGCTAATTTTAAGTGCAAGTAAAGGCCAGGGCTAAAACCTCTTAGCTAAATCCTTCACTGAGAATATTAATGTTTTATTCTTTAAAAAATCCTATTACTTCCTTATAGTCCTTACCCAAAATTTTAAAAATTTCACCTAATACTTTGATTCTTGTGTATATCACTCTTATCTAATTACTAGTGCTCCAACTGAGCTCTAGAGCCAGTTTCAACTACAAAATATTATCAAGCAACAGGCGGGATGAACCCAAGTGGTAACGTGACATTTCCCTTCTGCCATTCACTTGAAACTGGTTATCAACCTTTTTTATGAAATCCTGACTACTGATAAAGGTCTTCAGTAGAAACAACAAAAAGGAAATCTGGTGATGCAAAACTGCTAATTGACTTCATTAACACTCTTCTGCAGCTCAAGTAAAGCAATCATTCTCAGAGTGCCTCTATTCTTGACATCACACCTAGTAATGTGCTGAAATTGCCATTTCTCAGAACCCATCTCAAATCTAGTAAATTAGAAATTCTAGGACTGGGGCCCAACAATGTTTAGCAGACTTTTCAGGCTAATTTTGATAAACGCCAACATTTCAACACTAAGGGCCTAAACAGAAAAGAATTCATTCAATCACTTGTGCTATAGTGCTGATTCTAAGAATCTTGGCCTTATCCCAGACATCCAAAGCAGCACTTAAATCGCCATGGAGTTTTCCAGAAAGCATGATGCTCATCTTTTTACCCTTAAAGGACGTAAAGTTTTAACGTTAGCTCAACAATTTTATTTCCTGCCAGCAAATACAAACTCAAAACTCCTAACTACTCAACACCTGAGTTTTCAGATACATTAAGTCATTTTCTGTGACAGTCACAGAGATCAACAGAGGTGAATTTCCAGAGCTGTTCCTAGTCCCAACACAACTTACCTTAAATAGTTCAGATTCAACCACCTTTTTCTACTGTTTTCTGATTAAACAAATTCAGTGTCCGCAGATTTTATCACGAGCTTCTTTTGTCAGTTTTAACATGCTACTGTGGGTATTTTTCTCAAGTGTCACCAGAAATTATGAAGTTATGCAAAAAATATACTACTCTTCTCTGATAACCTAATTACCTACCATAATATTTAGTACTGTTTATTTTCCACTACTACCCTACCACCCTAAAAAGGAGTAGGGTAAGGGAAGAACCTCTCTTTAGAACTGAGAGAACAGAATTTATCTTTTTTACTGTTTAACATGTGAGAGGTCTGGCTTAATCTGTGGCACAGCTGTTACTGATTATATGTATTAACTAGCAGTTTGTTTATGGAAAGTCCAGCTTTTAAAATATTAAATAATGACATTAAACTAAACCAAGTTTTCTTTTCTTGGTACATTAAATAGAGCTTAAGAAAGGAGCTCTGGTGGCATAGTGCCTTAGGCATTTGCTAACCTGAAGGTTGGTGGTTCAAACTCACCAGCCACTTCATGGAATCAAGACTGGGCAACCTAATTCCGAAAAGATTCACCACCTCAAAACCCAAAGGGGGTCACTATAAGTCAGAATAGACTCGATGGCGAGTTTGGTTTGGCTTTTGGAGAGCTTAACAAAAAAAACTATCAACAGGAAAAAAAGGACTTCACTGTACATATAAGCTTTCTGTAACTGCTGTTAGTTAAAATTTGGAATTAAACAAAAGTGGATGATTAGTAAAGTTTAAAATTAAATCGAAGAAAAATACTGGCAAGGATTTTTTGTGCATGTTACATTAAAATGATGTCATCTTTTCCCTTGATGGGAAAGATCATAAAATTTTATCCAACTATTTAAAATATTCTCAAATACTTTTGAAAATAAGAGTATTTATCAATTCTATTAAAAATAACCATTTGTTTGCTGACAATAGATAATCCCACACACAATGATTTTGAAAGGCTAGCACAACTTGATTCTTGATATTACTAAGTTATTTCCAAATTTACTGTTAAACATGTTTAAACATACGCTTTTGCTGTTTCTTTACCCCTTAGCATTTTATACTCACAAAGTTTTAAAAAACCCATGTTAAGTCTCAATTTTAGTTATGCAACAGGAACAAGAAATCCACTAGCACCAAAAAGTTTAAAACTCAAGTCTTTAGTAGCAGTCTTTAGCACACTCACTCTAGATTAAACAACAACAAAAAAATGTAGCAATTTGTTAAAGCATGCACAAAACTACAACAAGAATAAAAACCACACCTGACAAATATATTGGTTACATTCCAAACATGTATAACCAATGAACATGTCCTAGGCTTTTTTTTTTTATTGGTATTCACTTCAGTAACTTGAAACCACAGATATAAGCAGTATATAAGCGAGAGTTTACAAGTAAACACAGAGTATACATGCAAATTTCTGTTCACAAAAGGTCACATGTGCAGGTATATGAATTAGAAGCGTGCATCTAGAATTACGGTTGAACTGTTTTTAAAAGGAGAAATGTAAAATTACATCTTGAAAATATGAAGGGATGGTCTACACACTTCAAAAATCAAGTGGTGCTTATACCAGAGATGTAAGACAGCTATAGGATTCAAGTGACAAGCAGTAAGATCTCAAGAAATTAATACTGGTCAAAGAGAACAGGAATATTTTTACATTTCACTGAAAATACATTGACTACTAGAATACGAAGTCTAGCAGGAACTTAGGGAAAAAAATTACAAAATCTAAAGCCAATTACTTAATATTTCTTATTACCTAAACAACAGCATAACATTAAAAGAAAACTGCACCTGCATCCTAATTGCCAATTGCATTAATGAAGTTCTCAAAAAAAAAAAAAAAAAGAAATGCAACCAAAAAAACCTTTTAACTCCAAATGAAAAGTCTGCAAGGCTCAGATTAAAATGTGGAATGTTTCAAATGAAAGTAATAAAAATACAATTGGTTTTGTACTTTATTGAATGGAATCAAAAGTTGTTGACATTTCTTTGAAGCTTGGAACTAAATTTCATTTCTCTGAATGTTTCTACGTACTTTTTCTTAGTGGTGCAAGTTATCTTAAGTAGTTTAGACATCAGTCACTACAAAGTACTTGTCTGTTGCCATTCTGATAAAACAAAAACTATTCATCATTAACTTAACTGTGTATTTTTGCTATAACATTTAAACACATGAAGAGACAACTAGTATTATTTCACTAAAACAAAAGAGTACAATATTTTTCTTCTAACTATCAGTACTGTATTTAAAAAAGGTTAACATTAAAAACAAAACAAAAAAAAACATTATTTTCTTTGAAATCATTAAGCTTCTTGCAAATCTTAAGCTTCCTTCTTCTGTCTGCGCTCTTCTGCTAATTTATTCAGAAATTTCTGAAAAGTGAAAAAGAAAAAAGATTACAGTGATTTAAGTCACCTAAGAGAAACATAACAAATGGATTCTAGGGATCTATTTTCAAAAATAAAATACTGTATCTAAGTTTAGGGAGTTAAGCGTAATTTAACATATAACCTTATCAATATTTTCAAGAATGAATTATCTTATTTGTCAGTGTACAAAACTAAACCAGTTCTGAAGACATCACAACAAGGCATGAAAAGTGACAAAAAGATGAAAACCCAGTACTTTCAACAGATGATTAATCTTAATTTTAGAGATGAGAAAACAAAGACCATAGTCACACAAAAGAACTGGTGCTATTTAAAAGCATAGTTCAAGTAAAATGACAAATCCATTCAGTGTTCTATCAAACTAAGGACTGCCAAACATATTTTTTAGGATTTATTTTTGTCAAACATATTTTTACAAGGGTCAGATGTGAGTACTTTAGGCTGGTGAGCTACTATGTCTCTGTTTCAACCACACAATTTTGGTTTTATAGCACTGAAGCAGCCACAGACAATACATAAATTTATGATAGCTGTGTTCCATAACACTATTTACAAAAGCAGGGAGTTGGACCACAAAGTGTAGCTTGCCCACCCTGCATTAGACTCGTGGCTTTCAATATGGAGTTGCTATATAGAAAAGACCTGTTGAAGACACTAATGAAATTATGAAAGATATAGTCAAGAAATTTAATCTAAAACATCAGATATTTCTTTGTTTCTGGTTGGTATCTATCAAACTCTGCAGTTATTACATTGATGAGACAGTTACGAATCATTAAAAGAAATGAAAACCAAATTAAAAGTCTGGGGGCCAAAAATTTGCCTTGGCCATTTGACTCTGGTTTCTGAAAATAATACAATCAATCAAAATGCTCTTATTTTCCAAAATAGCCAGCCAAATAAGGGCTACACAGGCCCCCTAACTGGCAAACTAACTGCAGGAAGAGTCCAAATACAGCCATCTATGTTCACTGAAGTCCCAGTAATTAGGGGACTTAGGACCTGGGCCTTGGGTATGCTCTCTCTGGGTCTTCCTGTACAGGTGAGAAGATACAAGCCTGGAAGTTGGGGACAGGGAGAACATCCCTGGGGACAATGGAGGCCCCATCGTGGGCCAGGAACTCTGTATACTCTATCCTTTCTGGTTATAATAAGCAGATAACTAAATCTAGTTAATAATCTCTTTGAGATTGGTGAGTCATTCTAGCGAATTATTGAATCCACGGGGGACTGACTATGAGACCCAGCAGAGGGTGACATTTACCTATTTAGCAGGGTTGTGTGGACAGAGTCCTTACTTGTGAAGACTCAACTATGATTAGAGAGAGTGCCATGTAGGTAGCCTGATGTCATAATGAAGTGGGAAAGCAGGGATATTAAGTTCTTAATAATTTGGAAATGAGTCTTATATGTTGGCTATTATTCATTCAAGATCACTGATCATCTACTAGTTAAGATATTGTTTATATTATAGAAATAATTCCTAAACGAAATGGATAAAAGTTTCTTCAAAATAGAAGGAAATAACCAAGTGAGCCATCTTCAATATACCGTATCTAATTACAGAGTTTTGTTTGTAAATTATCAAGGACCTAGAGATTTCTTTCATTTTGCAATACTCTTTTAGGTAATTAACATATAGTTTCTGCCTCAAATAGCTTACGATCAGAGGAAATAAATAATCATCACCCTCCCCCCATATCCGTAACAGTAAAAGACAGCTAAAAGCAAAAGTGTTAAGAGTCAAAAGCTGGAGTAACTTTCTAAACTTAGGCCTGTCTTTCTCTACCTAGTCGATACTGTGGACCATGTCTGATGAATGAATACTATAGTAGCTTTGTATTATACAGAAGTGTAAAAAACCAAGCCAACTGCAACATGAGATCTTTAAATCCTATTTTCAAGCCATTCCTCCATTAAGGAAGCCATCACCTAAAAAAATTTCAAAATAGCCAAGCCAGATTTTGTTATTCAATTATGTTATTTTATCTCTAAATCCTGTTGAAATAATAAAAAGTAATGGAAGTGTCATTATTAATAATTTAAACTATAAAGTATTAAATATGAAGGGACACGACACTTTACAAAGCTAAAATGGTTCTTTTATTATTCCATTTGGCTTTTATCCTTCCAACATCTTAAATTATAGACACAGATCTACAACCCATTTGCAAATACGTCAATGACTGTAATTCTAAGAATTTATAAAATGGTTAGAAATTACCAAATTATCATTATTTAAGTATGAAAAGAGGTTCAACAGATTCAATAGCCAGTTTTGAAATGGCTTCTAGGACTGATTAAAGGACCATCAATAAAGACAGCTAAACGTTATCTCCAGGATAATGCACTGTGGCTGGTTCCATAGAGGGTACTACACACATTTTGCTTATATATGCCACTTATTTTCTTTCATTCATGATTTGTAAAAACCTCTCCTTTTAGATTCAGCCTTACCTTTAATTTCTGATAATGAGGAAGGCTGCTGCAATGAGTATTCTTTGCAACGTCTTCATTTGTATAAAAGAGTGAACACAGCTTACAGTAAAACCCTGTTTTAGGTATCACATAGTCTATACCTAAAAACACAAACATATATTCTTATAATTAAGGTAACTCAAGATTTTAATTAGTATTCTCAAATCTTTTTTCCTGCCAGGGTAATACGAATATTAAAAACACATTTGTGAGAAGTCCAATATGACCTAAGGTAAAAAACCAAAACAAAATAAAACTCATGACACTAATAGCTGTGTTTGTATTCAACTGATGTTTAAAGTCCCTCCTAATTACACTATTAGAAAGACAGAAACATAACAGAAAAAACAAAGCAATGCTAAATTTTCAGAAACGTTTATGAAGAGAAAGAAAAAGGTAACATATTGTGGGTATGATAACATAATACAGGATCAGGAAACATGGCCAAGAGGGAAAGATAGAAAATATTAATTAAGGTTTACAAATTGTTTACAAGGAAATAAAGCAAATTGAAAATCCTATTGGAGCTTTTCAAGACCAATTTTAAAATCACGTGTTAATAAGGGTTGGTCTGTGGGGGAGAAAGGAAGAAGAACAAAGCCTTAAATCTCACCAACAGGAACATTGGGCTGGTATGGTCCAATTCTATACTCATCTGGGATTGTATAGTCCTCCTTGTTTTCATCACTTTGGCCATCTGCATTTTCACTTGTATCTTTGTTGGGGTCATCAGCATTCTCAGCAGATTCAGCTCCTGTCTCTGTACTTTCCTCATTTTTAATTCCATTTTCCAACGCTGCTTCGTTTTCTTGATCAAGTTCCTCGATCTTGTCCACCTTAATTTCAACCAAACCATCATAATTTTTGTCACCAGATTTAAATGCCATGCCCGATTTACGAAGTTTCTGAAGTTCCGAATCTTCCTCATCACCAACCTCATCTAGAGTGACAAAACCTTCCATACTCCCTGGGAAACGACGCTGTTAAGAAAGACAAATTTACTCTGCAACAATTATCCTGCAGCATCCCTTCTGTTTGTATTACTTGAAGGGAAAGGGATAGCGTCTTTGTCTTTAGTCATCCTCTCAAAAAAATTGTTTTTTTTTCCTCCCCCCAAACTACTAATGGCTCTTTTAGCAATTTAGCTTGTTTTAAAATCTAAATAACGGAAGGCCTGCTTCACACAAAGAGCAGAAAACTGATACAAGAATATTCATATTCCTCACTTCTGAGTAGAAATAGTCCTAGAAAATTTGTCAAAGGACTACTTTGATAATGGTAGTTTGGTGATGTTCTCTGCAAGCAAATACCTCATGATACAACAGAACTTTTGTTTACAACAGTCTAAAATAGTGCAGTGGTTAAGAAATCAAGCTCTTAAGCCTGACTGTGTAGGCTTAAATTTTGGCTCTGCAATTTAGAAGATGTACCTAGGACAAATTATTGAACATCTCTCTGTGCCTTAATTAACGGTTCTGCCACAGGAATAAATAGTAACATAAGAGTTGTTACTAAGAATTAAACAGTTTAGAAAATTTTACAGCTATCAGCTCTTAAGAGTATCAACTTACGCTGAAGTAATTATCCACGCCAGTTTGTAGAATACTTTATATAAAGTTATCTGACCAGGCTGTCAAAGCCTGCAGGGTAAATATTAGTTTCCCAATGGTTGAATGTTGCTTACGAGAAACCAATGGAAAAAGAATGACAGAAACTTCCTTACAGTATACATTTCAAGAGTCATTCAACATAGAATTCCTCAAAAACATTTTAATGTTCTGATACTTAAATAATCAATACTTGAGCATTTCACTATTCTTTTATATGTATATTCATCTTGCAGGCTGTCTTATGTGACATACATCCTAGTAAAGTTTTAAAAGTTACAAATATCTAACCAAGCTAACAATTTTTCAATTTGGAAAATTCTTGGACTTCAAGAATTTTTGAGTAAGTGGCAAACTGTTTTTAAGTCATCTTGGGCCAGTTAATATACTATAAAGTCATACCCCATCATACATCTATGTCTTTCTCCTTTATTACTAAAAAGTTTCTCTTGAAAGTTGATTTTCCTTTTAAATCTATATAATGCAGAATTTAGACTCAACTATTTATATATAGCTTGTAACTGATAAGGTTTTTCCTGATTAACTTTCCTTAATCTAATTCTGCTCAGGTAAATATGTTCCAAATTTTTAGCATACGAAAATATAGATCATTTTTCTGATCTAGTTTATTACTAAAAACTGGTCAGTATAAAATCTTTACCTTTTTAAGCTTTTTCTTTGCTGCTGCACTTGCATCTTTCTTCACAGCTTTGTCTGAAGGCTCCTTTTTTCCATCAGAAGCCACATCACCTAAATTAGCAAGATCAGTCTCATCTCCCACTGAACTGCCACTTTCTAATAGTGCTGCTGCTTCTTCTTCATCTACAAGTAGTTCATCTTCAGATTCAAGAAGCATGTTAGGTTCTTGCTCTGCCTGATCATCCTTTGTATCTTTCTCACCATCTTCACCTGACTTCTCTTCTTGTTCTTTCCCTTCAGCTGTACTTTCAGTCTTCTGGGAACCATCAGTTTTGGATTTCTTATCACTTGGAGATTCTTTGCCATCTGGAGAATAAGATCTTTTTCTGAAATGAGAAAGATACACAAGTGATTTCCCTGGGTTGTTAAAATAAAATGAGAAATGTAACAGTGTATATAAACACACATAAAAGGAAATTACCGGGATTTATCTTTTTTTAGTAAGTCAATGCCTCTGTTGGGAATCTAAAAGACAAAAGATTTGCTCAAATTAAATAAATGTATTGAAATATATTCACTTACAGAAAATATCATAAATTAATTAAAAATTGGTAACCATCCCTTAAAAGAATGAATTTAGAAGAATTTAAAGCAAAAATCTATAAAGAATCAGCTAATTTTTGATTTGATACATCTCCCACAATATGAAATCTTCTAAGATGGTGTACAATTAGACAAGTATAAAATAGAAGCTATTTAGCATTTAGTGAAAGAAAAAATTTCAATTGCTTAGAATTATAAATATTCTGATTTACTTGCTAACAGCCAGTTTTTCAAGAATGACCAGGAGACTATAATATAAACTCAGCGTACTCAATTCCTGTATGACTATAACCAAATAATTTTAACTGCCAACAGTCACAAGTTCATCACTATCATCATTCCAACAGAGTTTACAAGCATTTATGGTAGAACTCTGTTCAAGCAAAACTTTAAAGCACGTAAAAGTAATGAGAAGTTTTCTTTATAGAACCCATCACAATTTCTGCTACTAGAGAAATACAGAAAAAAGGTGTTCCTTCAACAACTATATCCTAAATTTTTAGCATACGAAAATATAGTCACTTGAAATCTACTAAAACAAGCTTTAATGGTGACAAATAAATCACTACATACCCTCAGTACCAGTTTTTTATATTTCTCAGACAAGTCAACCTTCACACATCTTCCCTGAAACCAAAGAGCCTTTTTCAAACATTGATCAACCATTGCCATTGCATCTTCTCTTGTCTCCATCTCAATAAAGGCCTAAAAAAATAGGGAAGGACATTTTCTTCAGACTTTCATAAAACTTCATGTTTGTTATACTTCTATCCATGTTAGGAAAATCTAGTCTTCACACAGAGTTGCTGGGTAAGGGTTAAACATCTCTCAATTAACTAAGAAAAACCTGCCAGATTTAAAAAATGCCAAAGAATCACTGTAGCACCAATTATTATAATATGTGGTGTTTCTGCAAAAATGTAATAAAGTAATGCACTTAGAAGATTTTAATCAAAAACATTACAAGAAAATAAGTCTGGAAGGATACAAACTTAGACTGTTTATTTGTAAGAAAGGTGTTTCTGGGGGGAAAAAACTCTAAATTAAAAAATTAAAGATGTCATCTCCACTCTCAATTTTTAAAATGAGAAACAGCAGTTCACCCAGTTCAATACATAAGAATCTGTTAAGTCTGTAACATTCATAGTGCTAGTGTAATTATAAATTGGTACAAATTTCTGTTAAGAGCAATTCAGAAATTATCAAAGTTAGGACTTTAAAATACCCAGATCCAAAATGGCAATTCTGTAATTTAATCCTGCAATTATATGCATACAAATATGCAAAAATCCACACAGTACAAGAGAAAGGTTATTTATGTTCTATTTTATACCTTTCAGTATTCATGGTACATCTGACCCTGAACATCTACTGTAACTCAAAAAATTCACCATCCATCAACTGTATGTCTTTGAATAGTGGTAACAGAGAAACTCCTTCACACTACTTTCCTCACTGAAATAAGATATACTGAAAAATTTTAAGGCACTTTGTAGAGTAATCTTTTTCAAAAACACTCTCTCTATATGTATTTACCTGACTTTTCATCCTCATCAATATGTAATTCTTTATCTTCCCGTAGGGCTCAGCAAGTTTGAGGACCGCGCTGTCAGAGTAACCAGAATGGGGTAAATTGCTGAGATGTATCACACGTCCAAGTTCTTGCTTTTGATCGAACTTCTGATCGGGCTTTCCTTCAGGTTTCTTCATTTGAAAAACAAAAGAACATAAAAAGTTAAACATTAGAAGATACACTATTATTTGAAGTCAGTAATGAAGAATATCTAATTATTAGCAATTTTAAATAGCAAATAAATATTAAAATAGCAGGTCAAGTAGAAGCTAGAAAAAAAAAAGGATATTCTAATTTACCTTTATTCTTTTATACTTCTGTGATAAATGAACTCTCACTGGTTTGCCAAATACTAATGCTGGTGTAGTTGTATAATAATCCACTGCAGCCTGAGCATCTTCTGTGGTTGCCATTTCAATAAATGCCTAAAATTACAGAAATATAATTTCTAAAAATAACACTGGTCAGAGTCTTTACAGATTTACTTAATTATTAAAAGAAAATATTTTCAAGAATTAACCAGTCACGAAGCAAAATATGAACTCCTGTATGGAAAATGAATTTGCTCTGTAAACTTTCACCCAAATCACAATTAAAACAAAAACCTATGGATCCTAACAACAAGAATTGACCATCATGATTTCATCTTTCTGTGTTTTTTTTGAGATGAAATTCACATAGCATTAAATTAACCATTTTAAAGCATATGTAATTCAGTGGCATTTAGTATATCCACAATGTTGTAAAATCATCACACCTCATTTTCATTACCCTCAAAGGAGATCCAGTACCCATTAAGCAGTCACTCCCATCCTCCTGCCCAAGTCCCTGCCAACACTAATCTGCATTCTGTCTCCACAGATTTACTTATGGGGGATATTTTATATAAATGGACTCACACAAAATACAAAAAAACATTGACAATTTGATATTTATTAAAAATTCATGTTAGATTATATCACCATGCTACTACTAAGTTAATTCATTACTGAATTTGAAAAAATAAGTTGGCACCGTTTTGGCAGAAGTCTGAAATGGCGTTCCAAACAATTTTCTTTTTTCTCCCCTTACAGAAGCACTATAATGACAATTTTTGCTTAAAGATTACAATTTATAAAGTTACTAATAATCCATTAGTATGTAGCTGCCTTCAAGGTGGCCCCTCAACTCATGGTGACCCCATGCATAAGGGACTGACATGCCTGGTTCTGCAATATCTTCATGACTGGTTGTGGATCTAATCATTGTGAGCCATAGGATTTTTTCACTGGCTGATTTTCAGAAACAGATCATCATGCTTTTTTTCATATTGTACTCTAGTCTGGAAGCTCAACTTAAACCTGTTCAGCATCATAGCAAATGTAAGCCTCCACTGACAGATAAGTTTAACACTGCATGAAGGGCACTGACCAAGAATTGAACTCTGGTCTCCAACATGGAAGATGAGAATTCTATGACTGGATACCCTCAATCCATTAGTACTAGAAATTAATTATCATTGACTGTAGCTCTTACATTTCAGAGTGATGATTTAAAATTAAATCAACGAGTTTCTTAAGATTAACACTGTGTTTCTAATATAGAATCATTTAACTTTAGAAAATGTTAGTGGTATAAACAATATGCTAATTTCAATTCATACCTCATTAATTTTATTCAGAATGAGATGATTTGAAATGACTCCAAATGGTTCCACCAGCTGTAACAGTTGGTATCTCAAGTTTTTCCCTCGCTGAAAATCCATGATGTGAACAACTCGGCTAGTTTCCTATCAGTTAGGAAAAACAAGTCAGTATTATCTCTTAAAATAGGAAACAGGTTTATGTCTTAGAATTTTAGAATGTGTAATTAACCAAAATAGTATTTCAAACAATTAACTCTTAACATTCCAGAGAATTTAAAAACTATACAGCAAATCAAGTATCACTGGGGTAAATTTCTCTTGTGTCTACAAATAGTTACGCTAGCTCAAAGTTTCAGAAAACAGTCTCTACACCGACTTTAAATGGAACAGTTACATATTTACATATTAAAGTTCCTAAACACATGAATGAAAGGTGTTATTCTCCACACTGTGGGCACATGAAAACATTAACACTGATCAAAGACATATAAAAAGCTTGGGGTTTTCAAATGATCAAAGTGCAGTGATTTTACAATGATAGTAACTTTCCTGTAACAAGGATTGTGAAAACAGATTCATCAGCAAAGATTTAAGTCAAATCACAGTCCCTAATCTAAACAAGTAAACAGAGTAAAAGTGAGAGCTATGTTACTAACCACTCTGCCCTTCTGCATGTGTC